TGGCATCTGCACTTCAATTAGTCATCCAACAGATGCTTGTCCCTCCTTGCAAGACTCTTCTACAGGTCCTGATGCCCCACAAGCCTATGCTACAAATATCTACAATAACAGACCAGCACAACAACAACAACAACAAAGTTATGACCTCTCCAGCAATAGGTACAATCCAGGTTGGAGAAATCATCCTAATCTCAGATGCTCTAACCAGCAGCAGCAACAACAGCCAAACCCTCCCTTCCAAAACAATGCTGGTCCTAGTAGATGTGTACCTCCTCCTATCCAACAGCAGCAGCAGAGACAACACGAAGCTCCTGCACCACCAGCTCCTCAACCTCAACCTTCTACTTCTGAACCTTCATTGGAAGAGCTGGTCAGGCAGATGACTCCCCAAGACATGCAGTTCCAAAAAGAGACCAGAGCTTCTATTTAAAGTTTGACAAATCAAATGGGTCAGATGGAAACTCAGCTCAATCAAGCACAGTCCCAAAATTCAGACAAGCTACCTTCACAGATTGTGCAAAATCTGAAGAATGTAAGTGCTATCACCTTGAGGTCTGGCAAACAAATTGACATACTAGCACCTACAGTTGTTGTACCCCTACCTAAGCCTACAATTCAGAAAGTGGACCCTACAGGTAGTAGCAAAAATTTTCATGCAGGTGGACCTTCTAATGCACAAATGATGATCTACATCAACCTCCTATCCCTCTTCCATTTCCACCAAAATCAATTCCAAGCAAAAAGATGGAAGAGGTGGATAAGGAGATATTGGAGACCTTCAGGAAGGTGGAGGTGAACATACCTCTACTGGATGCCATCAAGCAAATTCCCAGATATGCTAAGTTCTTGAAAGACTTGTGCACCCACAAGAGGAAGCTGAAAGGCAATGAGCGAATCAGCATAGGCAGAAATGTCTCAGCACTCATAAGTGAACTTGTTCCACACATTCCTGAGAAGTGTAAGGACCCAGGTACATTTTATGTACCTTGCATTATTGGTAACAATAAATTTGAAAATGCCATGCTTAATTTACGAGCTTCAATTATTGTCATGCCTCTGTCTATTTTTAATTCCTTGTCTCTTGATACTTTTCCAACCTATGGGTGTGGTCATTCAGTTGGCCAATAGGAATGTTACCCACCCCACAGGTTTTGTAGAGGATGTCTTGGTTAGGGTTGGTGAACTAATTTTTCCTACTGATTTTAATGTTCTTGATATGGAGGACGGATTCTCCCATGGTTCTGCCCCAATCATTTTAGGCAGACCATTTTTGAAAACAGCCCGAACCAAGATTGATGTTTATGCTAGCCCCCTGTCTATGGAGTTTGGTGATATTGTTGTTCATTTTAATATTTTGGATGCCATGAAATTTCCTTCTTGTCGCCACCGGCCGAAACGGACCTTGGCATTCGCGACGATGTAAGTCGTCCTAACAATCCACCACTTTTCAAATTCACCACTTTTCCAATAGAAATGTTATTCGGACAATAGCATGGAAATGGTAGGAGAGAAGTAATCACGTGAATTCAAACATGACTAGGGTTTGATAAAATAAAGACATCTCATATATCACGAGCCCTGCAAAAAATGAAGGCCCGACAGGAAACCCACTAAGGGGGCTGCGCAAAAGTTAGGGCAAGATCTGTTAGGCAACTCACAAGTAAAAATGGGTAACCTAGGCAAAATAAAATATCAAAGGAAAAATGTCCGCTAGGGAACACATATCAAGTGACCTAGGCAAAAGTTAGGACGTTAAAGCAGCAACCTGAGTTGAAAATCGAAAGGCAGCTAAGAGGAATCATCCAATCAGAGTACGACCCCAAGTCATCACTCCACTTTCCAAAAAGGCTAAAATACAATGATAGTTTCTTTGTAACAAATATGCTTTGTTTAATAGCCATAAACACTAAAGCCCACCTTGGTCAGCCATTCTTCTAAAAAACCCCTTTTGGAAAAAAAAATCCTTCTAACATCCTTTTGAAAATAATACAAACGTCTCCTTTCTTCTTTTCTCTTGACCCTTATGGCATTAAAATGGTACCGAAAAGATACACGGAAAATGCACAGTGAATACTCACAGAGGGAATAGTTTGCTAGATCCTTTCCTACTTCTCCTCCTTTGTAATCATCAAAAAGAAATAGGTGTAGACAAAACAACAGTTTATTGTTCACCTATTAGTTCCATTCCTAGCCTATCTCTCAACCAGATGTATCTATCTTCTTAAAGGGGCTTGGTAAGGATATCAGCTAGTTGTTCTTCTGTTTTTACATATACTAGTTCGAAGGTTCCTTTTTGTACATGATCTCTAATGAAATGGTGTTTTATCTCTATGTGTTTAGTCCTAGAATGCAAAACAGGATTTTTAGAAAGGTTAATTGCAGTTGTGTTGTCACAAAGTACAGGAATACTACTCTCATAGATGTCGTAGTCTTCCAAATGATGTTTGATCTAAAGCAATTGCGTGAGGCACTATCCTGCAATGATATACTCAGCTTCGCACATTGATAAGGCAATCGTGCTTTGCCTTTTGCTAGTCCATGATACTAAGCATCATCCAAGAAAATGACATCCTCCGCTAGTGCTTTTTCTCTCCCATCTGTCCCCTGCATAATCTGCATCACAATATCCTAATAGAGAAAAATTCTAGCTTCTATAGAAGCTGATTCCTAGGTTAGCTATTCCTTTAAGATATCTTAAAATACGTTTAACATCTTGCAAATGTACCTCCTTAGGTCTTACTTGAAACCTAGCGCAGACGCAGACACTGAACATAATGTCAAGTCTAGATGTTGTTAGATACAAGAGTGAACCTACCATTCCTCGGTACATGGTGCTATCTACGTTTGGTGAATCTTCGTCCAAACTAAGAGTAGATGATGGATGCATTGGAGTCTTCATTGGTTTTGCATCTTCCATCTTATACTTTTTCAACAACTCTTTCGTATATTTTGTTTGATGAATTTTGATCCCTTCGTCTGACTGGATGATTTGAAGTCCTAGAAAGAACTTCAGTTCTCCTATCATGCTCATTTCAAATTCATCCTGCATAAGCTTAGGAAATTCTTGGCAGAGATTTTCGTTAGTAGCACCAAATATTATGTCATCTACATATATTTGAACAATTATGAAATCATCTTTTAGTTCTTTTCTAAACAAGGTGTTGTCAATTTTTCCTCTTATGAAATTGTTGCTTATTAGAAAAGAGCTTAGCTTATCGTACCATGCTCGTGGTGCCTGTTTTAGTCCTTATAATGCTTTGTTTAATTTGAAAACATGTGATGATAGCAAGTCATTTTCAAAACCAGAGGGTTGGCTTACATAAACCTCTTCTGAAATTGTTGCATTTAAAAATGCACTTTTAATGTCCATTTAATATAATTTCATGTCAGTACATGCAGAAAAAGCAAGCAATATTCTAATTGTCTCTATTCTAGCAACTGGTGCAAAAGTTTCGGTAAAGTCAATACCTTCTTGTTGTGAGTACCCTTTTGCGACATAACCTGGCCTTGTTCTTTACGACATTTCCTAATTCGTCCAGTTTGTTTCTGTACACCCAATTTTTGCCAATGATCGTTCTTTACTTTGGTACTGGAATAAGCTTCTAGACATCATTTTTCTAGAATTGGTTGAGTTCTTATTGCATAGCTTGAACCTAGCTTTCGTATGACAAGGCTTCGTCTGTGGTTCTTGGTTCAACCTAGGACAGCAGTGCAATCTGTGCCTGTGTTTTGAATTAGCCTCTAGTCCTTATTGCATCCTTTGCTTCACCAATGATTTGTTCTTGTGGATGGTGAGTTTTCATCTGCCAGTTTTGATTGACTGGTTCTCTTTCTTATCTTTCACCCTGTTGAACTACAGTTTCTTCAGACTCAAGCTTCTTCGTCTGGTCTTTATTTACCTACATGTTCTCAAAGAAATTTCCTAACTCTGATATTTCTTTATCAGGCTTATTTTCATCAAATTTTACGTGAATAGCTTCCTCAACAGTTCTGGTTCTGTTGTTCAAGACTCTATAGGCTCTTGACCTTTTAGAGTATCCAAGTAGAATACCCTCGTCATTTTTTGAGTCGAATTTGCCTAAATTATCTTTAATATTTAAAATAAAGCATTTGCATCTAAAAGGATGAAAGTACGAAATGTTGGGTGCTCGTCCCTTCCACAATTCATAGGGAGTTTTCTTCAAAATAGGCCTAATATATATTCTATTTTGAATGTAGCAGGATGTATTAATTGCTTCTTCCCAGAAGTGTTTGGGGGTTGAAAAATCATTTAACAAGGTTCTGGCCATTTCTTGTAAAGATCGATTCTTTCTCTCTACAACTCCATTTTGTTGTGGAGTTCTAGGTGTTGAAAAATTATGTTTAATTCCACTTTCTTCACAAAAATCGTGAAATTGTTCATTTTCAAACTCTCCCCCATGATCACTTCTTATAGATGCAATTGATATTCCTTTTTCATTTTGAATCCTTTTACAGAATACATAAAATACCTTGAAGGACTCATTCTTGTGGGTTATGAACAATACCTATGTTCATCTAGTGTAGTCATCAACAATGACTAGTCCATACCATTTACCACTGACAGATGCAGTCCTGGTGGGACCGAATAAATCTATGTGGAGCAATTCAAGAGGTCTAGAGGTGGAAACATAATTTTTACTTTCGAATGAACTCTTAACTTGTTTCCCCTTTTGACATGCTTCACATAAATTCGTCTAGTAGACAAGACTTGGTAGACTTCTTATGAGGTTATGCTTTTTCGGCTTTGAGATTAATCCCAAGCTTGCATGACCAAGCTTCTTGTGCCAGAGCCACTGGTTTTCATATGAGACTAGACAATCAACATTTTGATGTTCTAGCTCATTAAACATTATTTTATACAGGTTATTACATCTGTTAGCCGTAAGTAATATAGATGAATCAGTTTGACTAACAGTACATTTACTTTTATTTAAGGATACTTAATAACTATTGTCACACAATTGACTTATGCTCAGCAAGTTATGTGTTAATTATTTAACATATAAGACATTATCAATGGAGATAGAGGAGTTGATACCTATTTTACCTATCCCCGTGATTTATCCTTTCTATCCTCCGTCGAATGTGACTTGGCCTCCTTTCTTGGATTTGAGGTCTAGGAACATAAACCTTTCTCCTGTCATATGTCGCCACTAGTGCAAAAATTGGATTTAAAATCGGAGTTTTAAGATGGTTATAAGGTAACCGATCTTAAAAGTGACGCGGTGGCAATTTTGTAAATAACATGAACACTTTTAAGATCGGTTAAAATTTAACCGATCTTAAAAGTACTTTTAAGATCGGTTACAAAAGAACCGATCTTAAAAGTACTTTTAAGATCGGTTATAGAAGAACCGATCTTAAAAGTAGCACTTTTAAGAATGGTTATAAAAGAACTGATCTTAAAAG